TTTTGGGCTAAAAAATACTCCCAAGTTGTAAAACCATGGTCTCTCATTTCATTTAAAGCCGGGTTGCTTAAATTGCAATGAAGAATCTTAACTATTATTACAAAACTCTGATATAAGAAAGGACTAGTTCAGACTTAAGCATACGTAGATCAAATAAAATTAATTAACAGAAGGTCGACCTTCTTTGAGTTCATCTGAAGATTATAATCTATTTCTTCAAATCTGGAATTCGATAAAAAGCTTAAGATCAACAACAAAACACAAAAAAAAATCCTCTCAATCTTTTTCGTTTTAATGTACAACCCCCTTAATTTTAGTTCAAGTTTATATTAATCTAGATATCTATCATTACAAAGCAATAAGAAAGAAACTTGAGCAGTACTGCATTTAATATACATGCATTGATCTAACTACTAGAACAAGTGAAGAAGCAAAACATGTTCAGTTCAACTGAATGTTTCATCTTCTTCTGATTGTCTTCTCTACTTCATTATCTGAGTGTCTAAAGTTTATTGGCCTCTATATAATATATTAGTTGGCTTCTTAATTATTAAATAACCAATATTACGGCTCACATCAACTTCAAAACATCCAGAAGACGACGCATGGCACTCACTTAAAAGGATTGATCTTTGTGAATGGAACGGTTTACTTAATGCCTACTGAGATAATGTTTTGTTAATTGTTATAAAGGTATGTTAATTAAGTTGATATATCAACTCTAGATAAATTGACAAGTACATTATTAGTTATTGACTGCGTCTACAATATTAAAGTTTACTTAACAAACCTTAGTTATTTATCTAAAGTTCTTATATATCTAGGATGGATTTAATAAAAGTTAGTGTATTTTGATTTGAGAATTTTGATATGATACAAAAGTGGTATATTGATGAGAATAAGAACATATAATGTTCAATGGAATAATAATTCTAGATACGTATGGGAATAAAGTTTTAAGATGTATATTACGGCTCAATCTTATATATATATATATATATATATAGAGAGAGAGAGAGAGAGAGAGAGAGAGAGAGAGAAGTATATATAAATTTATATTTTTGTAGTGGAAAGTAAATATTTTTTCTAAACTGAGATAAGTAGAAATACAAATTCTTATTCACAAATAATTGTAATTTTTTTTAACAAAACATATACACGATATTAATACTCTACAGTAGTTCCATACTTGAATCTCGATCGAATTTGATTTGTAATAACTGTGATCAATTTTGATTGATATTTTCCAAAAGAATATTATTAAAACATTTTTGTTATTGTTTTTTGAAATGGAATTGATATATAGATAACTACACATTGGAAGAATAGTGTCGGACCGATCAATTTGGATGTCCGCTTTTAACTTTTAAAAATATGTTTTCTTATACTTTTTTTTCAAAATTAAAATAATAAAAAAAATAAAACAAAAACTTTATAAAATAATTAAAGTCCATTTGATTTGTAAAAAAAGAAAAAAAATCCAATAAAACATATAGTTTATGATTGATGAAATATAGATCTTCTTGCTTTTTTCCGTGTAAAATCATTCATTAAACTGTCATAGTCGAGTTTTTCAACCATAGCTGTCATAATTGATAACAAAGCTATGGATGGATGCAGATTTCATGGGGGGGGGGGTGTGGGGGGTGAAGCACCCCACGGTACAGTTTCCTTATTGGGCTAGATTTAGGTTTTCCTTTATCTAGTGGGTTTGGGAGTCGGGTTTTTGGAGCTATAAATACAAGATTTAAAGTTTGTAATTATTCATTCACACAATTAATAAGAAAACTCTAAACGGGTGTTTGCCTCATTTTACGATTTCTCTCTATTGTTTATTGCTTTTTTCGTGTTTGATTCTCAAGACCATTCAATCACTCTAGTAACATTGTAGCGCGCAAATAATTCTTTATCAGCTTCAATTTCAAGAAACTATCATTGATAGCCGATATTTGTTTTTTTATATCAAACAAAATCTCAAAAGTTTGTTTATACTTTTGGAACGATTCAAACCTCGACTCGAGTTTGATCCCTAATAATTTTATTTTTAACAAAAAATATGCTCTTTTATAATGAATGTTGCAAAAATATGTTTTTTTAGAGTGGATGCCCGCGGCGGTCGTCTCCTTCGCCTGCCCTCAAGGCCGGGCCTGCATATGATTAACTCTTTCCTTGCATATATCTACATATAATTGATCAAAAAAATATTATATTATCGGTCGATGACCATTTTTTTTGGACAACCATCGGTCGATGACCATATTATATTAAATATCAGGGTGAAGACTGAAGAATACACATCTGTGTGATCTGTACATACAAAGCTATCAAGACGGCGACGTTTTTACTTTTTGGTCACGAGTCCAACCATTCTCCATTGAGAGACCTGGATTCTTTATATCAGACAGTGACAACAACCTTACATTTTATTGTTAGCTAAGACAGTTTCTTCTAGAGTTTTCATATAATATCTAGCCATTTAGGAGCATTCTAAAAAGACAGTTTCTTGTAGAGTTTTTTTTTCTTTTTTTTTCCAAAATTATCAAATGAAGTCCTCTTAAACTATACCAATTTAATAAACTTTTCATTTAGGTTAATGTTATCAAAATTGTCGCTCCATCTGGTTTGGCACTCGATTTCGACCTCTCTGCTTTTGTATAAATAAAAAATGAAAATGAAAGTGAAATTTTTTTTTATTCATAATTCACAGTATATTATGAGTGAATATATATAATTTGAGCAACACATAAGAAAATATTATTCGGTAATACATCTAGTCGGAATCCATTTTTCAAACTTAGCTAGCATTCAGTTTTTGGTTTATTATGTCTTTTGGTCTAGAATTGGGTCCTCAAATTCATTTGAGTTTTTTTCTTTTTTTTCTAAATCATTAGTTCATTTCAGACAAGAACATTCATAAAGGATTTTGTAGAATTTTTTTCTTTCTGTCTCCAAATTAAGGAAGATGAATAGGAATAAAAAGGATTTTCATTCGTAAGATTTGTATATAGAAATCTATTTCAAACAGACTTTATAGTAGAGAACAAATGTAAGTAAGTCATAATATATGATGACTTGGTTCTATTATGAAATCATTCGAAGTGGAGTTTTCTAACAAATATGTTTTTTTTTGTGGTTTGTCAGGTTCTAACAAGTACGTTTTAAAATTAATCAAGTAAAATGCTGAAACGAGTAATGTTATCTTTATTTCCTCGAGAAGTTTCATTTCCTTTATGGGGAGAATATAATTGACTAATGCTACAATTAGATTTTATAGAGGTTCGAGTTTGAGCAATAAAGATTTGATCTAGTTGGACAAAGAAATGGTCCCCCAAAAAAAAACAAGAACAAATAGTTAAAAAATGGATCTTACTGTTACCGAAGCACGCATGCATGCAATAAAGTTGGCATTTGCATACACTCCTCACGAGATGGTGTAGCGACGCTACACAAAGACAGTGAACTTTTTTTAATGAGATTTTAAGTATACACAGAGATGGCTCCGGTTCAGCTGGTTCGGTTTGATCCGGTCTAATTAAGTTAGGATTTGTGGTGAAGCAGATTGGTTCGGAAATCCTCTCCCTCAGATTTTGTTGGTCGCCAAAATCTAGACGTTTAATTGATAGACCGAGCCATGAATGAATGACATGGTTGATAATTATTCAATGTCAGTGAACTAGTAAATCAATGTGTATAATATAAGTTTAATGGTAAACTTCAATAATAATCAATTGGGGTGACGATCTATTTCCTCATGGGAACTATCATATAGCACCAGATCCACACGGAACTATGACCTTGTTTTATACGTCTATGAGAGGAAAGTTGTAGATCTAAATCCCCATGTAATAATAGTTCGAAATCTACTTCCCCACAGTTTCAAAGTTCGAAAGTTCAAACCCCATTGAGATCGGTTTTAGTTGGTTTACTGTATCCAAAACAAAGCTTAACCATGTATAAGCGTTGTTAAACCAATCATGACCCGGATTATGACCCGATTACAACTAATAAACCAAAACCCAACAAAATCCCCAAATTCAAAATCCCCAAATCGTAAACCCTAGAAATCGAATTCGAAAACAAAGCTGAAGGAAGAGGTTGAAGACGATTTCGATGGCCTTAGTCATTCCTCGTGTGCTTGGCGAAGACGATTTCGATGAAGAAGAAGTGGATAGGGATGCAAATGAAATCGAGAAAATGGTTGAGGAATTTGAGGACGAGCCTTCGATTTTCCATGACAACATTCCAGAAAGTGATGACGATGATGAGGGAGAGGCAGCTCCGACGAGGCTGAGACCACGAACATCCTTTAGCCGTGGTAATGAGATATTGTATCTCAACCAGGCATTCTTCAATGGAGTGGATTTCAAGGAGAATGTGCTCGACTATGTTTCTTCTCAGGGTCAGCCTTCTGCTTCTTCTCAGGGTCAGCCGTCTGCTTCTCAAGGTCAGTCACAGGGTTCTCAAGCTTCCCAAGCTTCGCAGGGTGAACCTAAGCAAGGTGTGCAGAGTAAACTCTTCCCATGGATAACATGGTATGAGTAATTTGGAAGATGGGTCTTAGTTAGCAAGCATAAGGATAAGATGGGATGAGCAATGTGGCTAATTTTTTATGTTATTTTGTCAGTTTTCTAATGTTTTTGGTGGGTCGGTTTTTGTTAACTCTAGAAAGTTGTCGGATTGATGCTTTTGTTTGAACTTGTGGTGTCTTGGAATATGAGTGTATGGTCATTACTTTTGGACCACTTGTTTTTTGTTTTGTAATGGAATTTTATGGCTTTAATCTTGTTCATGTCCTTGACTAGATGCAAAAGAGAAGACAAAAGGTATCAAATTGCCATAACTCATTTCAAACACAAAGTACTAAAGATGACACAATTGTATCCAAGTACTAAAACATACAACATTCATCAAAAAAGACCACCACGAGCAAACATACAACATTCAACAAATCCACTAACAACATCACCTTCTTCATTTTCTAAACCCCTTCTTCATTTTCTTCACCCAACAAGTGACATAATCCCAACCACGACCAAACATTCGACGACCCCGAGCAACATCATCTTCTTCATATCTCTACTAGCTTCAACCAAAACATCTTCAACCTTATCAAATATCTCCTTCTCAAGCTTCTCAAAGATCATGCTCTCAGTTGCCCTTAACTCTTCCAACACTTGCTCAAGCCTCGAATTTTTCAATTGCAGTTTTTCAATCTCATCTAAGAGAGCCTCATCAACCCATTTAAAGTTGTGATTGTCATTGACAATCTACAAAGTGAAATTCACACCATCGACATCAATAAGAACAAATTTTGTTAAAATCAACATCACATAAATCGAACTTTCATTCATGACATTACCTTTTTCGATGCAGCAAAAGCACAACGGTAGTAACGCCGGTAAGGATTGTGGTCGGATTTCGAAATCAATGCCACATTTTGTTCACCACACCAACACTTCTTCGGAACTCCCACAATTCTTCTTGGACCACCACAAGATGATCCACTCGACCCTTCTGAAACATTGCTCGATGCTCCAGACATCACCAAATTCAGCCTACAAAACAAAACTACTGATTAGATCAATCGATTCTGGAAAATCGATTTTAGGGTTCTTCCTGAATTTTTCGAATTGGGGATTTTTGGACCAAATTGGAGAGTTAAATGCTGTCATTCGGGTCGGGTTCGAGTCGGTTTTTTTTATAGTTCGGGTCGGTTTTTTTGGGTCTGGTTTCGGCAATTAACAGTTTAACTCTCGGGTTTAGATCGCAAACCGTCACAAACCGTGAAAACCAACACTTCTGGGGAAGTAGATTTTGAACTATTATTAGATGGGGGTTTACATCTAAAACTTTCTTTTTATGGATGTATAGAACGAGGTCATAGTTCCGTGTGGATCTGGTGTTATATGATAGTTCCCATGTGGAAATAGATCGTCAACCCTAATCAATTTCACCAATCAGCATACACCACCGTAACTATTCTCTAGCTTTTGGATTGTTTTTATTACCGTGTAGCATTATTGTTATAAACCATTTCCTTTCTCTATATAGAATCTAGATTGCATTGATACTTGCTGCCTGGGAGAAAAAAACTCTCACTGAAATAAATTTGGTTTAAAATTTTTGCTTCGGATTTGATCTAATTCTGTTGCCACATTCTGTTCCATGAAAATGTGCTTATAATGCTAAAAGAAAGAAGAAAGTTGAATCCTTTTTAAAATGGTCAATGAGTCGGCTTCATACAGAATCCAACGCAGACACACCGCTACTTCCAAGCGAAGAACGCGTTCTTGATATGCAATCAGAGAATGTGTCAACGAGCTGCTCAGCTAAAGCTATTGAATCATCCTTGAAAATATCAATGAATGTCTTGACAACATTTCTCTCCTGAGTCGCTCTTAAATTATACCAAGTCAGAAACTTCTGTCTGAAATTCTTATCTACATAACCTGAACACTCAAGCTTTCTTATAATCTCCACGCAAGGGTCCAACCCAAAACCGCATCTTGCTGAAATCTTCTCCAAAACTGTTTCTTTCAAGGCCAACTGTTTTGCTTTGTATTTTGTGCTTAAGCTATTCACAAGAGTTGCTTCCTCTTCATCTTATTCTTTGAGGGTTTTTGTAGAGACTATGGTTTCATCAACGCTCGATTCTTTGCTGCCTCTATAGGAAACAACTTTGAAGCAATACTCTGTAGCTGGGGTTAGTCCAGAGACAACAAACCTTGTGTTTGGAAAAGTCGAGTTGTTTTGGTAGTTTTTCTCTGAGACCTTACGATACCATATGCTGTGATGAATGATGTTTCCCGGTGAGGAAGGTTCTTCTGCAGAACCAAAAATCAAAGTGAGTGAAGTCGCAAGAACATCCTCGAATCTGATCTTTGTTGATCCTGTGTGGTAGATATAGAATCAAGCAACAACAAAGAAGAAAACAAAAGTACCGTTCCTTTGATCATTAGTATTTTTGTAAAGCTTACCTAACATCAACTTACAAGGCAATGCATGATCTGTTGGACCCAATAATTACAAAGCCCACAAGCTTGTATATTTGGTTAAAGTGTGAATACAAATAAAGCTTTTTAAGGCAATTTAAAATGTGAGGAACATCATTTTTGTCCTACATTGGAGGATTGGAAAAATTTAGAGTCATATAAATATAGACACACTCATGACATAGTTCAAAGTGTGTGAAGGAGAACCAAGGATCCCTCGCGCCGCCACCGCCGAGCCGGGCTCGGGCTCGGGTTCGGGTCTTGGATCTTGGGTCTTCGGTCTTTTTGGGCCATGTTTTGGTCAACATTTCTGGCCCAAATTGTTAAAAATTTCGGTTCAAATTCCTACAGAATAACAACATTAAAACTGCAGTCAAATGTCGATCCCAAAAATTACGCCAAGATTAACACCCAAATCGCATCATTAGCGCACAAATTAATCACGTCATTAACACGCTGATTACGTGCGACACTCCTCTCTCCTTCGCTATATATATCGACCTCTCATCTCTCATTTCTCAATCGCTCTACACAAAAATTTACAGAGTAAAATCGTTCACACTTTTATTCGATCTCTCGCGTCTCCTTTCTTCTTTCAAAAGTAAGCGTCTGAGAGTATATCATAGAATTTTAGTTCGTACATTCTATAGTCGGGTGTTGCGATTATACGAATATCAGTAGTTGTATCCTGGGATTCATTATCTCATCCAACCGCCACACTGAGAGAGATATTTTGAATTAAGGAAAGAGATCATCTCGCCTATACTTCTCGTTTTTCTTTAATCCACTTTTATAAAACGTTGTTCTGTGTCTCAAATCGTTTTCTTACATTGCAATATCAGTCTCCTCTAAATTTACTTCCTATAGTCTTAATTCAAAATAATCTGATCCTGCTTATCGCTCGAATCGGATCCTATATTGCTTTACAAACGATTTTCACAAAACGTTTTCAGGAAAAATCGATTTGTTTTTTTACAAACAGAAACGGTTTCCGCTAAGGCCTCTGGCAAGTTACGTGAAACATTATTGGACCACACAAGGACATTTTTCATAACTTCCTTTCCGCGTCTATAAATCGTCTCGGTTAAATCCGTGAACGTTTTTTCGAGTTCAAAACTCAAACGCGATTCTACGACCGCTCTATAACGTTTCCGCAAAACGCATAAATTAGCGACTTTTATTGTTAATCGCTATTCTATCGATTCTATTCAACGAATCTGACATTTTTCTGTCTCTTTTTTGGAACAGATGTCGAAAAACGTGGAGAAATCCATTGATGGAGGACACGATGATGTCGCTGAATCAACTCACATACCCGTTGGAGATGCAACACTCGGATCCCTGCCCACAAACATTCCGACTTTACCCAGCGATATCGCTGCAGGTAACGCACCGGATAAGTTTGATGGTACCAACTTCAAACAGTGGCAGCAAAAGATGCATTTTTTCCTGTGCACTTTGCATCTGGATAGGTATCTCACCGAGGACAAATCTGCTTTGCCCGCTGGGAATACTGATGTGCGCGCTGTTGCAAGTGTTGAAGCATGGATCCATGGGGATTTCCTTTGCAAATGCTACATTCAGAGTCGCTTGGTTGACCAATTGTTCAACGTGTATTGCGAAATCAAGTCATCCAAAGGTCTCTGGGAAGCTTTGGATAAGAACTACAAGACTTTCAATGTATCCTCAGGAAGATATGCAACCTCCAAATTTACGAGGTACATGATGGTGGACTCAAGGCCCATCATGGAACAAATCCATGAACTTCAGATAATTTGTCAAGAAATCGCTGATGAAGGAATGAAGATATGTGAAACCTTCATAGTGAATTGCTTCGTTGACAAGCTACCTCCTAGTTGGGTAGACTTCAGAAACTATCTGGATCATAAGCAGAAGTCTATGACCTTGTCAAATCTGATTTCCAGGCTGCAAAAGGAGTCTTTGAAACACGAGGTAAAAGCTGTCGCGCATGTCAACCCTGAACCATTTCACTCCTACAATGAAAATGTAGCAGAGTTCAAGAACAAGGGAAAAGGAAAAGTCAAAGGCAACGGAAAATTTCCTCCCAAAGGAAGGCAAAACAAGTTTGCTCCATCATCATCCACTTCCTTCAAAAAGGAAACTCCCAAAACCAAATTTGTTGGGAAGTGCACCTATTGCAACAAGAAGGGACACACCTCCAATGAATGTCGAAGCAGGCTGAGGGACAACAAAGGACAAGCCAACTCTACTCAAGCTGATCTCTGTGCAATGGTCACAGAAGTCAACATGGTTGAGCCAAATCCAAAAACGTGGTGGTATGACACTGGTGCAACCACTCACATCTGCATGGACAAAGACCAGTTCTCAACCTACAAGAAATGCAAGAACAATGCACACTTGTTGATGGGAAATGAGTCCTACTCCAAGATTGAAGGCATATGCAATGTGGTCTTAAAGTGACTTCGGGTAAAGAAATAACTCTCACCAATGTGAAGCATGTGCCAAAAATGAGGAAAACCTGATCTCTGGAACCATGATCAACAAGCACGGATTCAACGTCCGCATTGGATCTAGCCAGCTGATTTTAAGGAAACATGGGGTTTTTATTGGGAAGGGTTATGTTAAAGAGGACTTAATCAAAATGTGTGTAATGACAGTCCTAAAAAATGATGTACCTTCTACCAGTTCAATTAATAAGAATGAATCTTCTTACTTGGTTGAGTCTTTTGATTTATGACATGAATGATTAGGACATATGAATTATAAATATATGCAAAGATTAATAAATTCGAACTTAATCCCCAAATGCAAAATAAGCAAAAATAAATGTGAGACATGTGTACAAGCAAAACTCACAAAAATTCCATCTCCTCATGTCTCATACACACAGATTTGTGCGACTTAAAGTTAGTACAATCTAGAGGAGGTAAAAAGTATTTTGTAACTTTCATTGATGATTGTAAAAGATACTGTTACATCTATTTACTAAGAAGTAAAGATGAAGTCTTGGAGAAATTCAAAGAATATCAAACCAAAGTTGAAAATCAACTCGGTAAAACTATTAAAATTGTTAGGAGTGATAGTGGAGGCAAATATGATGGTCCATTCAATGTTTTCTGTCTAAAAAAGACATTATACATCAGACCACCGCTCCCTACTCTCCAGAATCTAATGGAGTTGCGAAATGCAAAAATCAAACTCTTAAAGAGATTATGAATGCAATGTTGCAGGAATCTGGACTATCCAAGAATCTGTGGGGGGGGGGAAGCAATTCTCACTACAAACTATATCCTCAACAAAATACCGCACAAAGTAACTGGCAAAATGCCATATAAACTATGGACAGGTAGAGTACCTTCCTACAAATACCTGAAAGTGTGGGGGGGGGGTGCTTAGCAAAGCTTGCTGTGCCACCTCTTAAAAAGGTCACCATAGGACCAAAAACTGTTGATTGTATTTTCCTTGGATATGCACGCAACAGTAGTGCTTATCGGTTACTGGTTCACAAATCAGATGTACCGGATATTCAGGTGAATACAATAATGGAATCAAGAAATGTTTCATTTTT